ATTACTATGCATGGATATAAAGTGATAACAAAAGTCATTATTGCTGAATTATTGTGCTAATTTTTTAAGTCTTTTTTTTTTTTGAGAATTATAAATTTTTGAGTTTTTCCGAATTATTTATTGTTATCAAGCTATAAATAATAGTATCAATTATCAGCTTTCATTTGATTTCTTGTCACAGATATTCATTCCTTCATTTTTGTATTTAATTTTTATTAATATGAATTAAAACTATTTTATTTTTATTATTACTGTTATCATTTTTGTTGCTATCATTCTACTACTCCTAATTCTTCTCGCTAAAATAGCTTTATTTTTAGTGTAATATGATTGAATTAGGAAATTCATCTGAAAAAAATCAGAAATAGTTTTATCAATATATAAATGGATTCATCAGATGAATAAGTGGTTAGCTGTTCGACTGCACTTGATTCTGTTGATGACAGCTGCACTTTAAGTTGAAATTTAGTCTTTTTCAATAATTTAGTGTTACTACATTTTTTTACCAAAATATTTTAATAGTTTTTCAAAAAGGATTTTAAAAATAGCATTACAAGAACTTGCTATTTTGAAAAAAATTTTTCTATATTTCTTGAAGTATACAATTCTGTAAACTACTGTGAAAATTTTATAATTTGTGATGGCTGTTTATTGGTGAACTTGTATGAATTGATATTGTAGCTGTTACTAGACTGATCAGTATCAAGTGCTCGCATTAAATAATCAAGTCATAATAACAAAATCTACTTTTATCCTCGTTTTTGTTTTTTTTTATGACAAATTTTAATCATCGTAAAAGTTTACCGCTTGCTATATGACTATTTAAAAATGCTGGCACCAGTTATTACTATAAATGATTTCAGAAACTGATTAATCTGTGTATCAAATAAATTACTCTTAAATCATTTTTGAATTCACTTCATGATTCTTTCCAGTATACACATCATTTTTTTGGTCATGATTCTTTCCAGTATACACATCATTTTTTTGGCATATTTCACTATATATTCTAATAATTGGAGTATAATTCTATCGCTTACGGTCTATAATTTATTGCTCGGACAAATCACTCTAAAATTCACCTTTCATTTATTATTGAAAAACGTTCACTATCCAAATACGAGGAGTAAAAGCATTTATGCTTCATAGTTTTTCTTGAGGTTAATTTTTTAGAATTACTATTGTATGAAAGAGGTTTACTTGGAGCAAATTATGACTAGTGGTTTATGAATGTAGTAAATTTTTCTTCGGTATTCTGTACTTTTTTGAATTCATGAATTTACAAATAATTTTACGTGGTTCGTGCTAGCTAACAATAAGGGAAATTAGAAAATAGTAAAAAGCCTAAAATAAAGCAAAGTTTTCGTCAAAAACAATTACATTGTCTGCATGATGCACACACTCAAATGCTCTATTGGAAGCCAATAACATGGTTTTCGTTAAAAATTATGGCTCCAAGTTTTTTAAATCAGTCGTTTTTTGTCTTTCTTTCTTTCGTTCTTTTCTCTTCTTCTTTTTTCCTTCTCTAACTTTTGACTTAAGTAACTTCAAGTTCAAGATTTCTAAATTATTTCATACGAAGCTGTCATAACAAGAGTTGATCTATTGGTACATCAATTTAATCGAAGAACTAACTAACTAGTGCATAAAATCAGAAACATTTAATTTTTTCTGTTGCACACAATCATCATCGATCAAATCTCTAAGAGTGACGAAAATTTGCTGAATTTACGTCAAACAATTTCGTCAAAGAATAATTTATTTTTACTCTTATTTTTTTTGAATTGAATGAGTTTTGAATTTTTAATGTATGTCTCCGCTACACATTTACTCTTATTCAAATAAATACGAGTTTATCAGTTCAGTGATCTGTACCATAGTCTGATGGATATCAGGGTAGTAGATTTTTTCAGAAGACTGTTTCATAAAGAGTATTTATTATAATAGAGTTCACCTTTCGTTTCTATTATTTTCTATTCCTTACTTTACACAAAACTTCTAACTTTAAAAAAACAGAAATTCAAGTTATCATGTAATCATCCTCACCTTTTCAATTTTGATAAGGTCGTTGTTATATTTCTATACACATAGCACTATTAAGACACAGAATAGCAGACTGAAATTTTTATCAAACCGCAAATGTCAAAAGAAAAGAAGTACGATATTCTATGCTCTTACAGATCAGATAAAAGTTCGTTATGTTATAACAATTGAGGTGATTTAGTTTGAAATTGAATATAACAAAATGAGCAAACTTTTTTTTTGTGCTTTTTCGGAATGCAAAATTTATGTCGAGAGTATATTTTTCACGTCAGACAATACATATTTTTCTTCCGTTAAGAATAATGTTAAACATAAACATACTTTATAATGAGAATATCGTACATGAAAGAATAGATCACAAATTTAGTCTTTTACAATTACTGCTAGCCCATTCTCATTATTCACTGCTTGTTGCTATCACGATTTTTCATCATTTTTATAGTTCTTAAATTCGATTTCTAACTTCTTTATGAGCATTCTTTTTTCTTTTTTTTTTTGCTCGGCTTTGCTGAGTTGCCGAGCGGTTGAACTACCAGCTAGTCGATCGCATCACGAAGTAGAAAAGCAGGAAATGGAGGAGAAACAGAAAAAAAACCGAGCCTGGAATTATAGATGAAAACAAATGGAAAACAGGTAAGGTTGTTGGAGAGAGCTCCGGGAAAGTCATGGGAAAGCCCTCGACCAGTGTACCGGAACAAGCAGAAGGGATTGCTGGTCGAGTACAGCGAGAATGCCGGAACACGATCCAATGCGAGAATTAAGAAGACAGGAAGGAAGATTAACCTCCAACCTGCTGCACATGATCTATTTATATTATATATATTGGTTTACCCTTATAAATATGCCTGTTCTTTACAATGGTTGATTTGATTGTGAAAAGGACTATTCGGAGCGTAACAACGTATTTAATTGATAATCAGATCTGTATCTCTTATTATTAAGAAGAATAACTTTTGCTTTCGACCTCATATTCATCATGATCATAGTAGGGATAATAATTCACGTAAAGCCTTTCAATGTGAATCGGTTCTTCATGTTACGAATGAAGTTTCTACTACTTACTTGACTTTCTAGCCATTTTCGCGTAATAAGAATTTTGTTCACCGCTTGGTTCTGTGTTCGACAGTAACGACAACAATAAATATTTTTTAATAACCATACTTAAATTAATACCTATTTAGCTTCTCTTACACTAATTGTCTTCTCAAATTCTAAATTTTTTACGTTATACAATGAATTAATTAATTAATAATTATTTTTTATGATACTGTTAGACTGAAATCATTCGTAATTTTTATTAACTTTACGAAATCGGAAATCGTCAAACTTAAAGAGTTTTTTATCTAAATACAATTTAGTGCAACTTCTTACGCTGATTAAAGCTGAAGTAAGTAGTGCGTGTGCACATAATTTTTCCGAAATATTGCTCTTGATCATTGGTGAATGACATTTATTTCCAACAAACTGTCAGAAGAATCTTTTACAATTGAGATTTTGGGTTTACTTACGCACATCAATATGTTCATAGTTTTTCACTTGGAGGTGAGATTTAAACTTCATAAAAGTACGCATACAATTTTATTTGATTGTTTTATCTTTTTAGAGAGAAAAATGCGCAATAGCTGTAACTTTTTCGATTCATCTGAACTTATTTAGAAATTTAAGTTCAACTTAGTTCCATCATAAGCCAAAAACTTCGTACATGATTAGTAGATTGATGTTCATATTAAGAAATATGTTGTTTTTTTTTACTTAGTTTTACAAATTTTTTTTTCTAAATCTATTTATGTAATGATCAAATATAATTCTTTGTTTATACCAAAAATTCTTACTGGGTCTTAAAAACAAAAATACATTTTATCCAGTTATTTTGATAACACATCAAATTTTTATGAGGGATAGAGATTGTAACGTACCACATTTTTAGGAAATGTGAGAAAAAATTGTGCAAATGTCGATAGTAGTAGGTAGACATCATATTTAATAAGCACTGACTAACCTTACTTGCATTAAAATGTGGCATTCAAGATTGCTCTTCAAATATAACTTTTACTTGATGAAGTAACTTACTGTTTATATTTCATAGTTTTATTCCGTTGAAGTTAATAATCAAAAAAAAGAAAAAAGTTGAGCATAGTAACTGCAATAAATTTTCTTGTGTTTCTGATATACAGCACATTTATTTAATTTTTTCGCCTTTAAATGTAAAGAAATAGAAAAGCAAATAGAGACTGAGGAAGAAAATGCTAAAATTGCGATATTGCAGTGCAGAATAACGAGAAAAAACACATGCAAAATAGATTATTATTATTAATCTCATTTCAATTAACTTTTTTGAATAATTGAAATGAAGCAGTTTTCGTGTGTACTTAACTGATTCTCCAAAAATTTTTTTCCTTTCACAATGCTTTCTTCTGAATTCATTTAGTGTTATTAATTGCAGTAAGCTCAAATGCTGTCTCTTTGCATAGTGAATGATAGAAAGGATAGAAATTTTTCAGGGATAAAGTTTCATTTCCTCTACCTTAGCTTCTTTTAGATGAAGGAGTCTTAGAAGAGTTGAGAACCTTCGATTTTAGTACCACATAATAGACATAGTTGACATATGTATAAAAAGCTCTGATTACGATAATTTTTGTTGGAAAGCATTTTTCAACATTCATCAAATTCATGTAAATTAAATTGAACAATTCTGTCATTATATCATTTGTTTTATTATGATTTTATCTATATCTTCTTTAATATTGGCCGTCACACTTATCTATTTATTTTTTATTTATATGTGCTAATTTTTGTTACAGCTTGAAAATGCTTGAGTTTCAGTAATAAATTGATATGAAGCGGTGAGGAACATAGAGTAAGATGTGGCGGCAATGTTAAATTGGGTGCTACTAATTAGTGGCATTGTATACACAACTGTTAGCGGTGTTGATTTGCATATTGGCGGCGTTTTCCCGATGGAGGCAGGTTCTGGAGGATGGGCTGGTGGTGAAGCTTGTCTACCAGCTGTTCAAATCGCTCTTGAAGATGTCAATTCAAATGCTAATATTTTACCGGGTTTTACCCTAAAATTACATTACCACAATAGCAAAGTATGATATTTCTGTCTTTTAAAAAAAATTGATATTTCTTTGTTCATTATGATATAATATTTTTCTTTTTTTTCGGTAAGTTTATCCAGTTATTCAACGAAAATAATATTCAGTGTCATAGTAATCTAGAAGTACTTTAAAATAAGAATTATTTGAGATGATCAGTAAATTATTGTTTAGTGTCAACCAGGTCTAGCGGCAAAGCAAATGTTCGAATTACTTTATAAAGCTCCAACCAAACTGATGTTGTTAGCTGGTTGTAGTCCAGTGACAACTGTCTTTGCAGAAGCAGCTCCGGTCTGGAATCTTGTAGTGGTAAATATTTATTTAACCTTTTCGGAATTTGAGAATACTTTTTTGTTATTCCTTTACTTTTTTTTGCTTCAGCTTTCTTATGGTGGTAGTTCACCAGCACTTTCAAATAGACATCGATTTCCAACATTGTTCAGAACTCATCCAACTGCAAATATGCAAAATCCAACGAGGTTTTTTGATTAATATCCTCATAATTTGGAATGTCATAGTTTTTGTGAACTAATACATATGCATGTTGCAGATTAAAACTCTTTCAAAAATTCAAATGGAAGAAAATAACTATTTTACAATCAGTTGAGGAAGTTTTCACAACAACAGCAAAAGATCTTGAAGAGCAATGTAGAGAAAAAGGAATTCGTGTTGAACGGCAAAGCTTCTACGGTGATCCATCTGATGCTGTGAAAACTTTGGTGCGTCAAGATGCTCGTATTATTGTTGGTTTATTTTACGTTACTGAAGCTCGACGAGTACTTTGTCAGGTAGGTTTCATTTTTACACTGTGGCCAATAATCGAACTGATTACTAATAAATCATATGATACATTTTGACAACATCAAAAAACCTATTACTAATTAATCAAATGATACACTTTGACAACATCAAAACTGAGAAGCTGTGAAGTAGGTTCCTTATTTTTTATCAGAATTTCAGCAATTATTTTCAGGCATACAAACATGGTTTGTATGGTAGAAAATATGTTTGGTTTTTTATCGGTTGGTATGCAGATACTTGGTTTATTCCTTTGAATGATGAACCACTTAACTGCACCGCCGAACAAGTTAGTTTTTTATACCTTTCAAATTCATACCATAAATAAATATGTTTCACAAAACTTGATAACGAAATTAATTTTCATATGGTCAAAGCAGCACAATACCACATCACGACCGAAAGTATTATGTTAAGTCGTGACGAGGAGCCAACTATTTCTGGAATGACTGGGAAGCAGTTTCAGAAACGGCTGATGAATATGCTAACTACTGATCCGGCTGAAACTGCTGGTTTTCCAGAAGCTCCTTTAGCTTATGATGCTGTTTGGTAACTTCGATTTAATTACCTTAACAACTTTATTGGATAAAACAAATCAATTATAAAATGCTATTTTTTGTTTCAATATTACAACTGCTAAATAATGCAAAAAATATTTGTAATTAATAAGCTTGAAGAAAGTGTGGTAAATTGTTTACTAAAATTAGCAAATCCATTTAGCACACCTTTAAGCAGAAAAAGAAATTCTACAGGAAAATAAAATATTAAATTTGAGTAGCTAGATGAATAAATAAATTATGGACTGGAATAAAGTTCAAAAGATGGTAATGGAAAAAGATGCTTTACTGTATATCAATGTAATTAAATGTATCAATGTATCAATTCAATGTATCAATGTATTGTACAAGTCATTACTAAATAATAATGACTTTTACAATACAATGATTGTACAATACCTAATTATTAAATAATAATGACTTGTACAATACAGTGTAGGCAGCAGCAAAATTACAGAACGAGAAGTTATTAAATATAGTTGCAAAATTATTAGGTATGGTGGTGGTTAAATGAAGAACAAAAAGCTCAGAGTTATTTAGCAACCTATATACTATTGTAGTAGGCTTTTTAAAGACGAAAAAAAAAGTGTTGAACTAATAAACATTGATTGTCATTATTAAAAGTCATAAAAGCAAATTTTAAAGTGCTAGGCATTCTGTTTCAATATATTTGGTCAAATACAAATTTAATATGATGGACTGGTTTGTACATACAGGACAAACTTTGTCTCACATAAAATGAGAAAATATACTGTAGAAACAGATAATGTTGTAACTGTGGAATTTTCAACAGCCACTGTTGCGACGTGTTTTACGATTAGGATTGAGACTATTCAATCATCTATCTGGTTCTTCATTTTAATACTATATTATAACGATGGAAAAAAATAAAAGCAACCGGGGATAGTTGTATTTTATACTTTCGAATTCATTTTGAACAATAAACAATAAGCTTGGAAACGTTTTACTCCTGAGCGGCACCAAAATTTTGCTGATTTTCAAATTAAACAGTTTTAGCTTTATGTGAATAAAATTCATATGCTTTGACAAACAAATGAAATTTGATTTCTAAGATAGATTTTTTACTTTTAATTTTTTTATCGATCTTATCACTGCTGATTTGAAGAAAAATTAAGGGTGCAAAATTTAATTTAAAATATTTTATTTATTAAATTGTAAACAATAAAAATGCTATAAGTTAACAGTTTTTTAAGAAAGATTTCTTATAGGGCTGTTGCAATGGCTTTCAATTGCACATTGTCAAAACTTCAAGCAGGACAGAGTCTCGAAAATTTTGCTTACAACAACACTGAAATTGCGGAAAAATTATTTGGCTGTGTGAAAGATACGCAATTCAGAGGTGTTTCAGTGAGTTTTTTATATTTTTACTTTTAGTAGGAAACTTGAGCAGATTCAATCATCATTCTTAGCAATAATACTTTAAGGGTCAAGTGATGTTTTCTGATCTTGGAGATCGCATCGCAAGAACACAAATTGAGCAGCTCCAAGGTTTACTTGATAATCTTCTCTTTGTTTCAGTCCTTTTATTGACAAAACAGATGCATTCGACATACTGCAGAAAATGTTTTATTAATAATATACTCTGAGGCTTAAAGGATATAGAACTACAGTTTTTTTTCATTGATTGTGATAGACTAACTAATTCAGTTTAAAAAATATTCATGCAGATGGAAAATATCAAATGTTAGGAATTTATGATACAACGACTCTTCGACTTGATTGGTATGGGAAGGAAAAGTTTGCAACAACAAACGGATTACCTCCGCCGGATTCTACTCTCATTCGAGAATCACTTCTCACTGTTGATCTAGAGGTTAAATTTTAAGTGAAAAAAGTTATCATTCGAGTACTGTCATGCTAGTCTTACGTACCAAGTATTGAAATCTAATTATAAAACTGCAAAACTCTACTCGTCACTTGATATTTAGCTATATTACGCAATTGCCATACTGGCTGTTATTGGAATTTTCGTCGCATTTACAATATTTATATTCAACATCAAAAACTCGGATAGAATGTTAGTTTTTTAATTTTTTACTAAATTTTATTCTTTCTTTCATGATTAGTATTATTAAGTTTCTGATGAAGAAGATCTTCAATATGATGAAAACCAGAACATGTGATAGAAATATTTGTAAATTCTATCATATTTCTATATAGACGTTAAAAATATTATCAAACATGATGCAATCTGTCTTACTTACATTTGAAACTGTTCTGTTTCTCTGAAGTTTAACTATTTCCAAAGTTATCGCGAAATAATTTTCATCATTTAGTAAAACAAACTATTATGTTACATTCTTGAGTTTTCTATAAAAGGTATTAAAATTATTGAATTAATCTACAAAATTTTGTTAAGGCGTAGTAATTTGTAATTTAGGGTAATAATGCAGTCGCAACCGCAGTGCAACAACGTACTCTTGGCTGGGTGCATGCTTTGTTCACTAAGTTTGTTACTCTTGGGTCTACCAGCCCGCGGAATCATAGTTCCAAAGCATTCTTTCACGTTGCTTTGTCATGTGTGTGAATGACGTTCTTTAAAATTTAGCTGGCAATTTATTCCTTTTCAAGTATTTGCTTTCTTTATTTAGTGACAATAATTTAATTTTCAGTCACAAATATCAATTTTAATGGTTGGGTTTACATTTGCTTACGGGTCCATGTTTGCAAAAGTGTGGGTTGCACATCGTTTGGGTGCAGCAGAGAGTCAGCAGCTAATGTCAAGACCAACTACAAATGAGGTGGCGAAAATCAAAAATCTTTGTTGTGTTCTATTACTGCAACTTACAGTTAATGCTTTATTCGTTGATAAAAGTGTAAAATAAGTATACATTAAAAGTAGGAAAAATTTAAATTTAGCACCTGAAATTCTTACAGCCTATAGCCGCTTGCAAATTCTACCTCGTAGTGACTATATTTTTTGTGATTGACGTAATTATAATCACTTGTTGGGTTATATTTGATCCCATTCAACGTGTCGAACAACAATTCCCACTGCAGGTATCTCTTGCAACAACAGTAATTAATTTTTATTCATATAAATTTTATAAAGACTGATTTCGTGTGCAAAATACGAGAATTGTTTTGTCTTGGTATAAACTGTCTTCTTTACATAAACAACCAGTCATATGATCTAAACTTTGCACTTTATGAAAAATTTAGTTCACATGACTGGTTGTTTGATCTATTCAATTTTTTGTATATTTGGAAAGCAAGTTATGTTGATTACTGTATATTTATTTCTTTTTATAGGAACCTCCATTAGGGACTGAAGAGGATGTTATGCTTTTACCTATTCTCGAGCACTGTCAAAGTAAACGTCATGACATGTGGACAGGTATAAAAGATTCCGAAAACCCATGAGCTAGTAAATGTTTGTTACAGTACTGAATCGTTCCTCTACTAAAAATTAAATTAAATTCCGGTGAAGTACACTAAAACAAATTTTTATTGCATTAGAATAATCTCTCATTTTTAGTGAGCAACCCGTTAATTTAGACAGAAAATTAGTACTCTTAATATGACAAATATTTGAAATCCATTATATATCAACTAATATTTTCAGGTTTGGTAATGGGCTACAAATGTTTGCTACTGGTACTCGGTCTTTTTCTTGCATATGAAACACGTAATCTAAAACCAACATTTGTCAACGATTTACGCTTCATTGGCTTGGCTATATATAACGTTGTTGTATTATCTCTAATAACTGGTCCAATAGTCACTTTCCTTATCCGATCTCAGTCCGATGCTAATTTTGCGTTCATAAGCATTACTGGTTTCTTTTCTCTACCTTTTTAAAGCATAAATTTGAAAAGGTCTTTAACTCTTTGATTTATCAATGACTTATTCAGTTGATTTACTAGTTGGTTATTTTTATTAGTTGAATAATAGCGAGAAGTACTAATCTACAAATACTTGGATATTCTTAATTTGTGAGAGGTGTAAATTCTGTTCTCATACCGACGCAATTTAATTTTGTTTGTTGGTGAAGTTTTCTTCTGTATATTTTCAACCATGTCATTTTCCAAGTGGTCGTCAAATTATAAAGTTCGTTAAAAATTGAGAGTGGAAATTATCCTCGTTGAGGTACATAATTGCAGTATTACTGAGTACGTATATAACACTTGGTCTGATATTCCTGCCAAAAATTGTTTATATACGTCGAACTCCAAAAAGCAGTGAGGAAAATAATGTCATCAGACCGCTGTACCATACATTATCTAGGACTGCACAAAAAAGATGTCAGCAGCTTGCCCACGAAAACGCTGACTTAAAGTGTCAAGTGGAACATGTTGGTTTTTTTCTTTAAATATTATCTTTTGCTTCTAGAGCACTGTTTTAACATGCAATATTTCGACCATACATTTGTTGGATAATATTAATCAAAATCAACCAAGTTTTAATGCAAGAATAATTATTTCTTTTAGAAGAAAAAGAAGATCGCAGATTACCGACAACGTTTGGGTAAACGTATTCAGGAAGCAACTGGTGCTCCACTTTGCGAACGCAAATGTAGCAGTATCAGCAATGAAAATATAACACATTCATCTCCAACTACAATCACAACAACTGCCTTGATCGAAAATCTGCCAATTTATTGTGCAACGGGTAATAAATTAACAAATTCATATTCATTTGCTAAGAGCGATAGACTTTTCTCTTCAAATTTTTGCTTAGAAACGTGTAAAACATGTATACGTTACCAAGCAATTTTTTTCCTGGTCCATTGCAAGAAATGTCCTAAACATATATTCAGGGCACTTCATTCCACCTCCTTTACTTCTGAAAATCCATTTATTTATCCTTCGTGAATGAGTTTTGCTATTTCTTGCTATCTTCATATTAAAAGCGAGATATAACTTCTAATATTTGTTCACAGCCTGAAATTTTAGTGAGCTTCCTTATATATTCCTTAATAATTCAATACTTCGGACGTAATCCTCAAGAAAGGGAACAAACCAATTTAACGATACCTGACAAAGGCATCCTGAGTTAATGAAATCCAAACTTCAAAAACAATTTCAGTTACATTATAATTTTAAGGTAAACATAATAACAATGATGCAGCGGACAATGAAGATACATCGTCAACGTACAGTGAAGTGTTTTTATGAAACGATACTTCTTAGGATGTGTGACTTTCTTTATTAAAATTAAATTGTTTTGTAATGCATTCATTTGATGAAAGCCTACTTCCCCCAAGGACACTATATTAGTTCACCTTCGACTATTTTATTTCCAAACCCACACATTTATCAAAAATTGAAGAATGGAATTCGTAAGTTATAGCGCATTGCACTCCTCATGTTTGATTTTGAAAAGATGCTATACATGCTCACTGTTAGACAGCCTATTTTGTCGATTCTCAACCTCCCCCTCAACCAATGTTTCTCTTGACGAAAGCAAATTCCACTATTATTAAGTTCATGCAGATATTTTTTCCTGTTGAGAAAATGAGGCTTACTTGAACAGCTAATCAGCAGTCTTGACAATTTGTATCACAAACTTAATTTCTCCAATTATCGCAATCGTCTTGCAGTACTTGCAGTAGAATGTAATTGCGACACAGTAAATAGTCAGATATTTATCACTCAGAGCATACGAGCTACAAATCAGATCAAAACATTTCAAAATAGAAGTACTGACGATAAAACTGGAAAACATGCAGTTTCCACACATATTATCAGGAAGATGAAAAATTATACACAACGATGGCTTGTCATATCATACTATAAAACTATCAGCATAGACACCAAGCATATTGAAGAAACAACAACGTTAATTCGTTGGTTTCAATCTTAAATCCGATTAGAAAATTATATGACACAGCCTTTTATTCAAAAAATTTTTAAATATAGGTACGAGTCTGAAACATTCGTTGCAAGAATTAGGCTAGCTTACTGAGGAGACCAAACCGTCTGTGAATGATGCAAATTTCTTTTTTACAATAATGCTGTATCACATTTTCATCAATCTGTGTACCAATGTAAATGCATAAACGCTGATCAAAATTCAAAACATTGTTGATATCAAATTTAAATACAAGAGACCATGATATAGATTGGTATACCTCTCTTCTTTCTCATCCTAGAGCTTTACAACACTTGAGTCACATTTAAATTTTCACTGAGAGTGATAATCACTCTGATAAATCACATTTTGGTTTTTCGTTCCATCTCGAATTTGCAGATATAAATCATCGAGGTACCACTGAGTTAAGCAGTATAGTAATTGATATTCATTTTCCTTATTGAAGTAGCTAACGTAAATATAAAAGTAAAAAAGAATAGGGTGAAAGCCAAAATGGGACGTGGAGTTTACGGTACAGACGATGTAGAAAAAACTTCTTCACACAGAAAATGTTTTATACACAACGAAAACAACTGGTTGATTTGCTAAAAGAATTAAAACTCTGAGATGGAAAAAGACTCGGGGATATAGAAAATGGTACAGACGAGAAAAATTATAAAAATAATGCTTTTGAAATAAATCAAAACATGCCTAATTCTTTCCTTACAATCACAAAATTGAAACAGACGTGCAGGCGTGACTATAATGTAAACTATTGACTCCTTGAGCTATTATATATCAATATTAAAATAAGACAATACTGTAAACTTCACTTTTGGATTTCTTAAATCAAACAAGTAATAAAATCTAAAACATGCATACAAAAAGTTTGAATTTGTGACAAACGCATATTCATTCCTAAGAAAAAACGATGAAGCACTAGCATATTTGTACTAAATGCAGAAAAATATAAAGCTGTATTGACTTACATTCAACCTCTCCTACCAATGCAGTAGAGAGAGAAGGAATAGTGGGCAATGCTGCTGATAACATAGGACATGTTTACACAGCATTCCCCATACTAACAGAAATGAATTATTTGTTGAATGGTGAATAGAATTTCTTCAAAACAAACATCAGTTACCTCTAATTACAAGAGAAGCTAGCTTAGGAACGAATTAAGCTCAGATTTATTTCAGTACCTGGTTACAACACACTATTCGCTAAGAGATAAAAAAATCATCTATCTAGTCTACAATAAAGGATATAACTATCACCAGATACAGAAATTTAATTGGCCTGGTAATAAAGAGTGGAACTTGTAGTTACAATAGCTCTCACTTTATATAATTAATTCATAACAGTTCTTGCACTTTTTTCTTGTCAGTAAACTATGATCATCGACTTTAACTAACAGTGAGCTCATCAAAATTGTGCAGCAAAGAATGTTTTTGTTAACAAACAGCTTCCATTACTTGATTGCACTATGAATCACCTCCAAAATCAGAGTCATAAATCGAATAACTGCACATCAAATACCAGATCGTCTCATATAAAATGCTGCCAAGCTTCGAAGATCATAAATATATATATATATGGCAAGATAAATGTCACCATGAAAGTAAAATTTGCAATTGAACTACTCACAAATGTTATTTTTCTGCTTGATAAACACAGAACAATCATGGTAAGTAATAAAAATATTGGTAAAATTGCAGGTAAGTATGTGAGGAAAAAAAGATGTTAAATACAAGCGAAACAAGATGAAGTAACCATCAATAGCTAGTTATGACAGTTGGAAAGAAGGTTAAATGCTCATTCATATTACTTCATTAAACTCAATTTCAACTTTATTCATCGATTTTGCAGAGAGCAAATAGGACAGACATTTAACGGTAACTGTTCTAAAGAGAGCAAACATGCAAGACATTTTGGTGTGGCATCTTGTTTTTTCCAATCTTCATTTCAGAAGCGAGCTGAGTAGAGAGAAAGAACAAAATATGACAGCAGATGACATGACCGTTTCAGCAAAAACAGAAAAACACTGAAAGGAGGAATAAAAATGAAGTGCAATAAAAAGTTTGTGACAAAGAATTAGAATAATAAGTGCAGCAGCAGCAGTAGCAACATGGTCAACAACAGCAAGCAGTAGCAAATTAAACATCAGCTATAAGCCAGCAATAACTCAACCAGGCTAGCAGCATACGCTTCATAGGAAAGCCACACAAGATCGATTGGAATTGTGAAAGGGAAAGGACAGGAAATTGAGCATATCTTCAGATTTCATCAGTTTCTCGATGAATAATCTTTCTTTTCATCGAGTGGAATGAAAACAGGTGAACCTCTCCCTCACGCAATTAGCTACATGCTTACCTCAGCACCACAAATGCTTACTGACGTTCCAATACGTCTTTTCCAATCATCAAGCTTCATCATCAAGCTCTCCTTTCATCAATAAAATCCCGCATTATGGTTACATATGAACATTTCCCATACTAATCACATCACAACTGCAGCTATATGTTCTTCTTCTCTCACGTTTCTTTTCTCGCCAGCTACTACACAGTCCTTACGGCTTATTTTACTAAATAATACGTTCACATACCACAGATCTCATCAGCAAATCATCTCACATTAACTACATTCATTTATTATTCTAATAACTTTCTCACTTTAATGGATCACATTATTTGATACTTGATTACGTCAATTTTAACACAACTTTCATGCGATGATCCATGATCCTTGTAGACGAATGATACGCAGGCAAGGAAATATGCTCCTTAAATCTACTTACTACTGAATATGATACATAAATCAAGCTCTATCTACGCCAGTTACAAAGAAATAAGCAGTTTCATGATAAAAATGATAACAACTTTAGAGGTGGTTCAGCTTAAATAAACTTACATTGTATCGTTATTTTCCAGAATATAAGCATATATAAATAAATTTATAGATAAATTTGAAACTTACTTTCAAGACGTAGTTGTTCTCATATGTAAAAACAACAGCAAATTAATGCTGTGGTGATATGCGCTGGTACGATCATACTGTAAAGTTAATGAACTTTACAGCTTCAAGCTTGCTATGAACTGCCGAAGGTTGAAGTATATTCTGAAATAAAAGAAGCAAATAACTCTAGCAGTAAACGCCTTGACTAGAAACGGTTCAACTCTGGAGATCATTATCTCGAATTATCTTCTTCCAATTAATATCTCTCAATTGCTTGGAGACCTGAAAACTAAGCTTTATATCATCCTTCATCCTTGATCTATTTTCTACCACCTTCATTCAAATTGGCGAGCATCAAAAGTTTCATAGAATAAAACCTTCCATGTTGCCAAAAATGAATGTACTAAAGAATTATAACTTCATCTCCACAAAATGCAGATGCAAACATTTCTCATTACCTGCCAGTTCTATAAGCACATGGTAACGATATTAAAATGATATCTAAACACACAGTAATAACTTGATTAACCTTGTAAGAATAAAGCAAGAGAACAAAAAGACTGCTGATAACTAAACAGTTTTTCAGGCTTTTATTAGTAACCAGCACTCACTTCTTAGTTACATTTATTAGATATACCGTGTTACAGATATAACGAATTTCGACGCTGATAATTTTTAAACACACTTTATAGAGTCAAAACATGAGCGGAACAACTAAAAATTAATTATACAGTGTTTGGGGGACGCAAGAGCAAAGAAAATCGTGAAATGATGATATGGAGAACACAATTATGGATATCAGGTGGCGAGGTCGATTTGAAGGAGAAACCGGGACGGCAGTGACGATAGCCGTTGTCCACTATTGCTGACAACCAGCTAACTCACACTGCCACCCGGTAACATCCCTCATAACAGATGTGGGAGAATCCGCTTCGACAGCAATTGCAAACTAAAATCAACATAAAAAATGCTAGCGATCAGTTAGCACAAAAAATGTATATCACAAAGCTGCGAACTTCCATCAGCTGAAGATATTTGTGAATTTCCTTTGATTGCATACATATAG